CCGAATAAATTCCATGAATACCATTGTTGATCCAATGGTTGTCAAGGTACTTATTTGCAAATAAATTCATCGATAGATGGCAAGACCTTAGTTTTACAAAATTGCAGAAAATATTAGTTGATTAAACTGGAGAGATAAGTAAAACTATACGAAATGACATAACTAACGGCTTTGACATCTTTTGGGCGTTAAAAACGTACGCAATTTCCTTTTTGTGCATTGAAGTGGTACAAAAATCGATCTTGTATCAATTGCCTCTCAGGCGCTACAATAAAATACAATTTTGTATAAAAGCAAATGAACGCAACGCAACCGTCGTATGCAAGGTAGTACGTATTGTTAAAGGCTAATTTGTATTAAATCATTATCAAATAAACAACTATCCGCTGTAATTCGAAGAATACGATTTTGAAATTTTGTTTCTGAGGTTCTTCTTAATAACAGATTAGAAATACAATCATCTGTAGACGAATAAAGGACATAGAGGAAATGCCCGAGTACCTCGCCATTTTGTAGGTTTGAAAATTGCATTGCATCCTTTTTTATTGCGCGGTTTTCACTGTTGGGAACGTATTGTAGAAGGATACTGTTATCTCCAACTACCCCCCCCCTTAAATGTGTATTGTTGTGTAAAATAATAACGGAACAACCTTTATGTTATTTCTGAAGTGTAAATCTGGGAGACTTCGCTGGTTTTATTTGAATTTGTTTGTCAGTGTTATTTTTTCCTTTTAAAAATGTACTTCATTGCGTAATTCTTGTTTAAATTTTATCGCTTTTATTGTTTATTTAAATTTGTGTATTAAACATGTATTAAAATGCAGGGAGATCTGGTGGTTTTCGATAAGAGGTTCAGGCAAAATAAATGACAGGACATGGTAGTGCTAGTGCTGCAAACGAAAACACAGGTAGTCATTTTTTTATAATGTTGTCTAATTTCGGAAAAGGTCGAAAATGTCGAATTGAAAAAGGAAACAGTGTAGTAGGCATTAAGGTTCTATTATTTAAAGTTTTTACAGTCCAAACAGACATCGAAAATTTTTTCATCCTACTCATCATCAAACCAGTTTTGTTTGACATCTAATTCTGTGCTATATATTTTTTATTTATCTATTTATTTTTTTATTATTTCAGCCAAGGCTGCTCTACCAACCCAACCCACTATACATTTACAAATATCCATGCCCGAACCCGGATTCGAACCAGGGACCCTATTAGCGCCACAGTTCAGCTTTAACTGAACTGCGCCACACGGGCCGGCGAAGAAGAAGTGAATTTTTCTGAAACTGTTAGTGAGTGTTTTTGTGTATTTGATAAGTGCGTCTCAATGTCGCAAACCTTGCACGAGCAGATCATTTGGATTATTTAAAAAAAAACAAGTGATTTTATGATTTCTTGTTTTACTTGTCGACCGCCTACGTGCGGAGGAATATGTCCAAACGAGCTTCGTAAGGTTTTTTTTCTTTCAGGGATTTTGTTTCGTGTGTTTCCAAATAAATTTTTGTCATTGTGTCAATTGTTTTTATTCGAATCCAGTGTGCGAGCAGGATAGAGCTTTCCGAGGGTTTGATCACGAGGGAAATTCTTGTCCCTCATATAAGAAATTTCGTAGAAATATCTGGGAAATATGTAAGAAATTGACGAAATTAAAGGTAATTCTGGGAAAATAGGAAATTTCAAAATTCTAGGGAAATTTTGAGGAAATCTAGAGGAAATGAAAAGGAAATATAAGGTTTTTCTATAGAGAAGTAATGTAACGTTACTCTTTTGTGTAAATTTGGGGAAATTTAAGACAATGCCAGAAATCTTGGGGAAATTAAGGAAAATGGTGGCAATGAAGGAAATCTTTGTCCCCTAATAGTAGGGGAGCTAACACGAAATCCACTGAACGAGAATGATCAAAATTTTAACCGATGGTGTTCCATTTTGCCCTATCAGAGTATGCTAAAATCGATCGTCTGCCGCCTCAGGTCATATGACTTAAGGCGCTGCGGGTACTTCTTGCGGTACCAATTCTGAAAGGTTGTTTTTCGAGAAAATAAGTTATACACTAAATGAAAACGTTGATAATAGCTCTTGAAAAAATATTTTAAAAAATCGCGCGCATTTGATAACTCCGTAAAAAAACAATTCTTAGTCGGTTTTTCACGAACTTTCTACGGATATAACTAGGTTACGGTTGGACGAAAGAAGCTGATTTTTTTTACAGACTGATGATAGGTACTACTAATGACTTATCGGTGTTTCGTTTTTAAATTTTTTCTCTAATTACAAGATTATCTTATTAATAATAATAATAATAATGTTTATTGGACCTATTCAATTTACATTGTTTGTCACGTCAAAATGGTATATGAGATATAAAGGAGTATAGGTATATATAAATATTTCACACATTAAAAATATCACAGTATGTTAGGAACTACAAGACTAGATTCGCGTGCATTAAGGAGTAGGTATTCAAATATTCTGCGATACTGTAAAAACAATTTTGCAACAAGAGTTTTTTAACATTAATTTTAAATTTAGGCAATGGCATTAGTTTTAATTGACTATCCAATTTGTTGTAGAGTTTTACATTCAGTGAGTTTCTGTCGGACACACATAGCTTAAATTTTGGGGGCAATAACAATTGACAATAGCGAGTGTTGTAATTGTGGATGCTCCTATCTGATACTTCTCCTTTAGAGATTGTTAATTTATGGATATCAACTAATGTGTTATAAATATATATGCATGGTAATGGCATTATTTTAAAATGTTTAAACACATCTCTGCAATGATCTCTATTTCCAATACTGGCAATAATCCGCACAGCTTTTTTTTTGAATTCTAAAGACTCTTTCAGAATGAGGAGATCTGCCCCATACAGTTATCCCGTAGCTAATTCTGGAGTGAATGAAAGCGTAGTAGCTTGATATGAGTAGGTACATGAACATTTACAGATTGTCGTAATTTTAATAACAAATAAATGTTGGAAGATAATGTCGTGCATAATCTGTCCACGTGAGTCTCCCAATTGAGTTCATTGTCTAATGTAATACCTAGCAATTTGACCGAGTTTCTGGTACAAATAGATCTGGTGGCGGTAAAATTAATTTTTTGAGTTTTGCTGACGTTATTATCTTAACATTATAAGATATCTTATAATTAAACAAAAAATTTAAAAAAGAAACACTCTCATAGTCATTGGCTGTACTTATCATTAGTCTGTAAAAAAAATCAGCTTCATTCTTCCAACGGTAACCTAGTTATATCCGTAGAAAGTTCGTGAAAAACCGACTAAGAATTGTTTTTTTACGAAGTTATCAAATGTCCGCGATTTTTTTAAATATTTTTTTAAGAGCTATTATCAACGTTTTCATTTGGTGTATAACTTATTTTCTCGAAAAACAACCTTTCAGAATTGGTACCACAAGAAGTACCCGCAGCGCCTTAAGTCGTATGACCTGAGGCGGCAGACGATCGATTTTAGCATACTCTGATAGGGCAAAATGGAACTCGTTCTCGTTCAGTGGATTTCGTGCTAGCTCCCCTACTATAAAATAAGTCGTGACCAACCCTTTGGAGCTTTCATGTCAGTTTTTTCTATTTGTGCCCAGGATTTATCTCAGGTGTTTGGAAATAAATTCTTTGAAATTGTCGGAAGTTGACCAAGACCTCCGAGTGTCTCAAATTGAGAAATTTTAAGTAAATTTTGGGATGCCAGATGTGTACGAGGAGAGTTTTAAAATTTCTAAGCTTCAATTTTGATTTGTTTTTAGCTACCTGGACAGGGTGTTTTGTGGGTGGTGGTGTGACGCACGTCATTGCACACAGCAATATTTACAAAAAGGGGTCGAACAGAGGGAGAAAAAAAAGTATAAAAATGGACAGTATTTGAATATTTTTACAAATATTTAATTCTCGATCTATACAAAAATGTAATATTTTATCTCCAAAATTAACTGCGAAAGTTAGAAATTCGTTGTAGTAAGATGTTGCCAAGAAAAAGGGGAACAGCTCGATGAGAAGTGTGAGTCGATGGGACAGGTCCATGTCTAACAGCTTTTGGGATCAACGTGAAGTGTCTCAAGATGTGAGTAAGTTTGGTCATCGAAACTTTGTTCGAATTGAAATATTCTCCTGCTTCCGCGGTTGGTGTAATTCTTCCCTATACATCAAATTGATGATCCAGTTAGTAAGCCGTTACACAGTTTGAACAGAAAATTTGTCGCTTGCTTAGAAGACCTAGAATGTGGGTCCGAGTTTTATGTGACATTTATTATAAGACACAACAAGCAACGTGATTGATTGTCTTCATCGAGACTGGTAGTTTACGTATAGAACACACACCGGCAAAAGAATGACAGACAGAATTTCGGAGGAATCTCTGTGGGCAAAACTCGTCAATCACGTCGCTTTGAAAACAGAGAAAAGTATTCTCAATTATAATTGAAAATTCGGAAACTAGTGCAAACACTTTTTAGTTATACGCCAATTTAAATGGACCTCCTTTTAACAAATGAAATGCGTATAGTGTAACAATGCCTGATCTCATTCTCATATTAAGTGGAACTGCTTAGAATGAGACTAATTTACCCGATTTCTAAATACCTCATTCGTAATTTACAAAAAATGTAAGCGAAGTTACAGCATTTTAGATAAATTTATGATAAGGACACCTACACCTGTGCACAGTCCTTAAAGTAACCCCTAAGAGTGGTAAATTTGTAAATTTGTTCTTTGCGAGAACTTTGCGAGCTTGTCCTAAAATAAAAGTTTCGAATGAAAGCAACATTATAAAGAAAAGTTGCAAACTGCTTAGTTTTCCCAAGCTTCTCGTGTTAAAATGGAAATGTTCTCCTTTTTCTCATCGTTAAATTCTTATCCCTAATCAACGATCTCAAGTAAATTTAAATTTAATTAAAATCGGAAGTGTACTCAACATCCTTTTGCAATTAACTGCGATGTGCGTAATTCAGTTTCACGAGAGAGATTATTTTAAAAAAACGACTTACCATCATCTTCATGGGTGGCACTGCAATCACGACAAACGGCGGTTCTCTGCCCTCTCATTGCCATTTGTTGTAGAGCTAATAACTGTTGTTCTCCCAATTCCATATCCTTGTACCCTTCAGGAGGGCTAAGCGTAACAGCATCTACGAACTCTAATGGTGGAGCAAATTTAGGACTTTGCGGTGTCGGATCAGAATTGTATCCTTCGTATAAATTACAATTGCAATTAGGCTCGCAACATGTTAACCGCACCATTTCGTGGTCGTTACATGTACAGACGCCGTCGTCCTCCTCGTCGTCGTAATCGCACTCCTCGCGTATTAAAATAATGTAATCGGCGTCGAAAAATTCGTTCTTGTTCTCGTTGAAGACGACCCGATTCTTCTTAGCATCGCGACCCTTACCCGGTTTCTTAAGTAGTGATTTCAGATTTTTCTGATCCGGATTGTGCTGCTTCGCTCGCTCACCGTCTGCACCCATACTGCCGTCACCCCGCATTTCGCTAATTAGATTGTTTTCGCGCTCATCTTCGTCACTACTGTTTTCTAGTTCATCGTAAACAACGAAGAAGTCGGAATCGGCTAATCCTGAGAATGAGCCGACCTGACGCACATCGAACTCGCAAAGGCTTCCACACGCAATTCCGCTCGCTTCCGGCGGTAGGTCTTCACTTCCTAAAGAAGCGACACTACTTTCGTTTGTCTCACAATTCAACTTAAGCAGAGGCTGCGTTAATTTATCGACCACCTGTTTTTCCTCTCGCGAATTTTCTAATGCAATTTCCTCCTCTTCATCGTCGGATTTTGGGATTCTCGATTTTCCATCTGTTAAGCCGGCCTGCTTGAGCTTATTTTCTAAGTGTTTCAGTCGAGATCGTCCCTCGGCTGATCTTCTATTTAAATCTCTACTGCTAATACTCTCACCGTTGGATTGCTCGTTTTCTCCTGAATCACATTTTAGTACCTCCGGTTTACTATCGACATTTGCGGATGTCTCAAACACGAGCCTGCCATTTTTAAAGGTCCAAATTAAGTGAGTATCCTGTTTTTCTGCACACTCATCACTCGCGCTTTCACTTTTTTTGGCACGATTCGTTTTTTGATCGCTCTCAGTTGTTGATTCGTTGTATGGTTTCGGTTTGTTGGTGTAAAGCGGTTCGGTTGCGCGTTTTTCAGTCACGACATCGCTTAAATGTGAGCAATTTTCTGTGGAATTTCCTAAAATCGGGAACTCTGACGTTGGCGCAGCACAGACCGTGGCAACGGAGATGCGACTGCACCGCGGCGCCTGTGCGCACCGCTCGACGCCAATAGCGATCGATGGTTTCACCGTCACCGCCGCCGCCACCGCCGTCGGAGTTTGTTCATTCTCAGCGCACGCATACGCACCGTTATCCAAAGAGTCGCTCATAAAGTCACGTCCTTCAGGGCACCCACTGTTTGTTAATACCGATTCACTTGTACTTCCAGATATGCCCTTCGAAGTGCTAATCTCGATAACGTCGCCTTCTGACGGAAATATCTTCCCAGCTATGTCGTTCTTCGTCACAATTTCAAATTGACTGCACGAATCTACGAACTTATTTAACATACCGACCATGTTTGTATTGTTAGCACCGTCAATGCAGTCGTGGACGTGTGGATCTGTATCAAATGGTGATATAGTAATTGAATTGCTTTGTATTTGGTCATTGTCTTCGGATTCCCCACCATTAATAAGTGTGCGTTGACAATGGCCAACGGTGTGTATAATTTCAGTGGGTGCGTCGTGTTCCGTCGATACATCTTCGACTTCATTTACTTTGTACTTTCTTGGCTCATTTGTCATGCAAATTTGATCCAGTTCGTTATACGCCCCGATCCCACGTTCGGAGATTTTTATTATGCGCTTGTTCAAATCCAACCCGCACATATTAACTTCCGGTTCGGCTACAATATCGTGGTCACGGATTGCTGGAGCTATGCGACACGGTTTCGCTTCACCTATATCGCTACCCGGCATAGGAAACATCTCATTAACCTTCATACCGCATTTGGACTTGTCGCAAGAACGGAATTCTTCCGGTGCCTCCAGTATCGGATCATCCGCGTGTTTTTCTCTCAATCTCGCCTCGCTCTCGATATTTGGTTTTTCTAATTCCAGCGTTCCGCATTCGAACAAATCCGTTTCCATTTCAATTGCGTTTGGGAGATTGTCACCGCCGTTACTCTCCCTTAGCTTCTTCATTCGCCTTTTTACATCTAATTCGTCCGAATCAACAAAATTTGATATTGCTGATAGACCCTCCGTTTTCCCATCGGCTGCACAATTTTCAAATATGAGCGTGTCAACAGCAGAATCAATTTCGATTTTACCTTGCCCGATAATATCTATTTGGCTTTTATCTGAAATTTTATGAAATGCCCTCGCCGTTTCGGCATAGTCCGGCTCGTCGTAATGAAACTTGTTACCGCAGGTTGATTTGGTGACATCTGCATTATGGGGCGCCTTACCTTGTCGAATCGGGATTTTCGATACCTTTTTATCCTTTCTTCTTTCTATTTTACGGTTTACGTCGATCAAGGATTGCGCTATTTCGTGATTATCGTCCTCCGATGCTGACGTATGCGGGCTTGTTTCTTTAGATTCGCCGTCGCCGCTTTCCCGAACAACCTTCAGTAATTCGCAATACTCGACGGATCCCTTTTCATCTAACCAATCAGAATTTAAGGCCATATTTTTATTACAGTTCCAATTTTACTACTTCACATAGCCTCGGTTTACTTCGCACATTGAGTTCTCTACTCGCCAATCTGAAACAAAAACAAAAATATGTTAGGTATACGAAAATACCACAGTAATATCATATACACATTCCTCACCCATATCCAAAAACCAAAATGTCATTAACACGTTGTTACCCTTGTTTTGTGGTCAAGTTTCTACCTAGTTCGCTGTTTGTGACAGTGTTAAACGCATAATTTTTATTTCCACGTCACCTACTTAAAGAAGGAAGATGAATCGAGCATGACGCGAGGAAGCGTATATGGAGACAAGACGAAATAGAAAAAATTGAAAAAGTGGTGCACAAACATTGAATAACGGAAACGCTAACCGAAGCCTTAGAGAAGGCCTGCAGGAGACGTGTAGGTACCTACCTACAAAGGAGCCGAAGATGGCGAACAAAATGCAGCAATGAAATGGACGTGAATGTTGCTTGTGGAAGCAAAGGACGTGTAAAAGTAATGGAAAAGGGACTTGAAACAGGTAAAATATAAAACGGGCACGAATGAGGCGAAAGGAGGCGTGAAGAAGTTGTAATGGAAAAAAGGTGCCTGAATAAATCATGAAAGAAAGAATAAGACGTCAGCAAAGAAACGAGGTCTAAAGAAATTGAACATAAAAGAAGGACACGTGAAGGGAATATGAATGGGTCAAAGAAGAAACGTGTGAAGCTGAGGAGATAAAGGTTCTTATGGAAACAAGTGTAAAGGAGACCTAAATCAGGCAGAAAGAAGGAAAGAGATACGAGAAAAGAGTGAGGTCAGTGTGAGGCAAATGCAAATGCAAAAAGTGTGTGAAAAGAACCAGATAAAAAGCTTAATAAGGCGTACAATAGACGTAAAAATGTTTGAACAAGGATTGGCAAAGGACTCCAAGAGGCAGAAAGAAAAGTGTGTGATGAAGAGGAGGTTAAAGAAGCGGGAAACGAAAAGGAACGTGTTGTGAACTAAGCATGAGGCAGTTATGAATCGAACGTAAAGCGATCGAAATGGAAGGAGTAAGAAGAGCAAAAGAAAGCGTTACTAAGTGTGGTGTCACACTATGCGTTTTTACCGCTCCCGCTAAAACGGATGCGGTTTGACAGGATGAGATCTACTTGTCACACTATTCCGGTTTAACGGGATGCGTTTTTGCTATATTTTGGCAGTCTAAGTAGTGTCATGTCTCAATTATTGTTAAAGATGGTTTGTGCGCTTGAGGCGGAGGGGCTATTGCGAAAGCAGATATATTGTCAATATTAGATTGATCCTTTTAATTCAGGACGAGAATCTAATAATAGGTTCGCGAAGATTTATGAAAAAATTCGAATGAACAAGAAAAATTTTTTTGTATATTACCGAATGTCCAAAAATTCAATTTCTACCCATGATTTCTCCCTACAGCTTTTATCTACATACTCTTTAGATTGTTTTTCCCACAGTGCAGTTTTTGCATGCACGCACTCGATGAATAAACCGACATCAAACATTGTAAACCTAACAAAACACCCGGTTGCAACGCTCAGTGTGACAACTGATGACAACCAACGTGCAACAACACGTGGTTTCATGTCATTGGGGTTGTCATGTCATCCTGCGCAGCGGCAGCAGGATGCGGTTGCATCCGGTTGGTGCGGCGAAAACGCATATATGTGACTAGTACCATTTAATAACGTGTGATATTATCATCCCGTCAAACAGGAGCGTTTTAGCGGGAGCGGTAAAAACGCATAGTGTGACACCACACTAAAACGGATGCGTTTGACAGGATGATAATATCACACGTTATTAAATGGTATCAGTCACATATATGCGTTTTCGCCGCACAACCGGATGCAACCGCATCCTGCTGCCGCAGCGCAGGATGACATGACAACCACAATGACATGAAAGCACGTGTTGTTGCACGGTGGTTGTCATCCAATTTGTCATCAGTTGTCACACTGAGCGTTGCAACCTGGTGTTTTCTTGGGTTTACAATGTTTGATGTCAGCTTATTCATCGAGTGCGTGCATGCAAAAACTGCACTGTGGGAGAAACAATGTAAAGAGTATGGAGATAAAAACTGTAGGGAGAAAGCATGGGTAGAAATTGGAGAAACAGTGTATAAGAATTGGATGGAGCTTGATTCAATGGAGAGAGATGAGAAAGGTAGGTCATAACGAATTTTTCTGTTTACTTTCAGTATTATTTTATTTTAAAATAATAAAAAAATTTGTAATTACAAAAAGGCAAAAAATGTGGAATTTAGTACATGTAACTTCTTTGGAAATGTACTGCTCCAGCTCCCATAAAATACTGTGCAAAGTAGTCTCTAACATCCAACCCTCGGTTACGTTGGCCTTCTCCCAAATTACGCACATCGTCAAACGGATGGCTTTCAGTATCTGCATAGCTGTTACCATCTCTCTTACGAACAAAATTGTGGAGAATGCAACAAGCTTGCACTATTTTATCCACGAAACTAGGTTGCACAAGAATGGGAGTATGAAAAATCCTCCACTTGTTTGCCAGAACTCCAAAGGCGCACTCCACATTGCGTCTGCACCTTGATAGTCTGTAATTGAACACTCTTTTTGTAGCATTCATGTTGCGGGATGGATACGGTTTCAAGAGGTTCGTATGAAGTTTGAATGCCTCATCCCCAACCATTACGAAGGGTTGGGGAATTTCCTCGGGCTGGGTGTTCGGTAAACAACGAGGCGGTGGCAGATTCAAACTGCCAGAGTACAGTTTCTTGCCTAATGGACTGTCCCGAAATACAGTCGAGTCTCCTTCTTTTCCGTATGCACCAACATCAATTGCGACAAAACGGAGATTTGCATCTACAACTGCCATTAGCACAATAGAAAAGAACTTCTTATAATTGAAGAAATTTGATCCTCCTCTTCGGGGATTCATGCATCTTATATGCTTTCCATCTATCGTGCCTACACAGTTAGGAAAGTTTGTTTTTAAATAAAATTGATCTGCGATGCCCAACCACACCTCTTCAGTGGGTTCCGGCATTTCTTGCTCTTTCAAAGTACTCCAAATCGCTTCACAGGTTTCTCGGATTATTGTTCCAATTGTAGATCTTGCAATTTGGAATTCGTACCCAAGGCTTGAGAAGGTCATTCCAGTAGACAAATACCTGCAAACAAGAATTTTAATAATATTTAAAATTATTTAAGTGAAAATCTCAAAAATTAAATACTGTGTAGTAGAACTCGGACGCATGAACCTTAGTACAATATTAATACTCGTATATGTATATAATTTACAAATTTATTGTCTTCCGTTGTTACAGTAAAGGAAATGAAGAATAAATGGCGACATGTTAGAGATAATTACTATAAGTTTATGAACCAAGGCAAGAGTGGTGATGCTGCTCCCAATAAGAAAAAAAAATACATATATGCGGACTCTCTCACGTTTCTGCAAATCACAATGAAGAAACGAAACACGTCCGGAAATATCCCTAAAAACCTTGGAGCTGAAGAGAATGAGGAAGATGAAGAAGGTGTAAATACGGAGGACAGCCAAGAACCGGATGAGGTGGAAGATGCAGCAGGTGTTGCTAACGAAATCCGACGTCCAAAAGCTACTTCAATTAGGGAACGACAACGTAGAGTACACAACCTTACGCCTTTTCAAAATCAGCTACTAAAGAGATTAGATAATAGCTGCAGCAAACACATAGAAGATGATGCAGACAAGTCATTTTTAATGTCTCTTCTTCCTGATTACAAACAGTTGAACGCTGAAGAGAAATTAGATTTTAAATTTATGACTCTACAGTTTTTTCGAGACCTTCAACAAATGAAAAATAATTCAACTCCGCTTGCTTCAATGAATGCTACTTATCAGTTCTCAAAACATTTTCTTGACCATTCACAATATCATCTACCGCCTCAAGTTGCCCAAACTTTTAATCAATCAACTCATACTCAACCACGTCCATCATTTGTTCATACTCCTCTCATATCCCCACAGAACTCTCAACAGTCAAGTGAGTCATGTATGTCTCACAGATCAATGTACGAGTTGTAATATGACTATGTGTATGTACTTATTAAAATAAATATATAATTGATGTACTTACCTAAGTGTTACCGTTAATCTTTCTTCTGGACTTATAGCGTTCCTAAAGTTTGTATTCTTTTTGGTGATTTGTGGTCGCAATACCCCAAGTAGTTCGTCGAATGAATTTTTGGACATTCGGTAATATACAAAAAATTTTTTCTTGTTCGTTCGAATTTTTTCATAAAACTTCGCAAACCTATTATTAGATTCTCGCCCTGAATTAAAAGGATCAATCCAATATTGACGATATATCTGCTTTCGCAATAACCCCTCCGCCTCAAGCGCACAAACCATCTCTAACAATTGAGACATGACACTATACAGACTGCCAAAATATAGATAGCAAAAACGCATCCCGTTAGACCGGAATAGTGTGACAAGTAGATCTCATCCTGTCAAACCGCATCCGTTTTAGCGGGAGCGGTAAAAACGCATAGTGTGACACCACACTTACTAAGGTGCGAAAGACAGAAATGAAAAAGTCGTGCAAATAAAGAAATCAGAAAAGTGTCGGAAAAGTGCGAAAATATTACCCAAAGAGGCGTAAAAGAAAGAAACACAATGAACGATAGCTAAGAAATTAATAGGGTGCGTGAAAGTGGCAAAATAAGCAACAAACAAAACTGGAAACAATATAAAAGAAGGTTCTAAACAACTAGAAAGGTTTTCGCCCTAAGGTGAGTAACTTTGACGCATTTTCCAGGATTTGATCAGTACTTTCCAAAGAAAAGACCATTTATGCGTACAACATTGCATTTAAGCTTTGACATGCTTTTATTTGAAATTTTAAAGTAAGATGTCCACAATAAGAAAGTTGACAGCCAAATCCGCGCATGGGGAATGGGTTTTTCACTATGTGTACTATGTTCGTTTTTGTTAGATCCAGCAATTGTTAAAATTTAAAAATAAACAAGAAAACTGACATTGCGCAGTCCGCACATATGCATATTTGACTTTTACTATGTGCGATGTGTTTTCTTATATGTTACTCTTTAGTATGGGCATCTATAGTTAAAATTAAAAAAAATTTCATAGTGGCTTTTTGCGCATGCGCATTTTTATAATATGCGATATGTTTGCGTTTACTAGAAGCACATTTCGTTAAAATTTCAACAAAATATATTACCTATTAAACAAGGAAGTTGGCATAGCGCATGTCTGATTTTTACTACATGTGATATGTTTGTCTTTATACAAGTATCGGTGGTTAAAATTTCAATAAAATATAATAATAAAAAAGTAAGTTGATATTGCGCAGACTGCGCATGAGCACATTAATCGTCAAGATTTTTCTTGGCTCAGGTACCAGAGCTAAAAACTACCTGTTTCCAAAAGAATGAACTAAATATATTGAAAACTGTAAGAGTAGCCTCGGACGGACGGACAGAGAAAATGGCTGCAATCGTTGGAAAATGCCGTAAAAGCACAGGAAGTATGAAAAAGCTTTTAATGAGAAAGACTTGAAGTAGGTATAGGAAAGAACTGATATAGAAAAGGCGGGTAAATAAATGTGATATGTAAAAGAACTTCCGAGGCAGAAGAGAAGGTTGTGTAAACGAACCGTGAAAATAGCGAAGAAAGTATGAAATGAGCATAAATAAGACGTAACAACTCAATTAATAAGATGTAAATGAAGTTGAAAGTAGAAATACGTCAATTAATAGAACAGTGACTCAGTGAGTGTAAAAGAAGAGCATAGAAAATGCGTAAGTGGCGTAATAAAAAATCCGTGACAAACTCTCGCAGCAAAGAGCGCATGAAAAACGCGGAACAGGTCAGAGGCGAAAGGGGATGTAAAACGTGGCAAGAGGGAAAAGTTATTGAACAAAAAAGACATGAAGGAAAGAAGCGTGAAAAAATATGAAGAAGTCATAGTCGCAGAAAGTGGAAAGATGTAGTAAGGAAGTCGGGAAGTGCAAAAGACTCGTCAAAACATGCGAAGAAGACGTGAAGGAATCCCCGAGAAACACAAATAAATGTAATATAAGCATGAAGAATGAAATGCGGTGTGAACGACACGTCAAAATAAAATAAGACGCTCAAGCCCGAAAAGAAGGTGTCACAAGGCCGAGGAGGATTGAAAGAGAAGAAAGAGAGAGACTACAGTGAACAAAACGTAGTAAGTAAGTAAGTCTCAAGAGAACCGCAAGGATAAAAGTACGGTGCAGAAGGATGACTTAAAAGAGTCGTGAAGGATGCGAAAGAGATAATGAGGAAATTGTAAAAAAACACACATACGGCAAGAAGGAAGTGAAAAGAAGTCGTAAAGAAGGTATCCGGCAGATGTCAAAGGGGCATTTGAGACAAAAAAGCGTGAAAAGGAGCAAAGATGGCATAAACATCAACGTTGTAAAAAAGCACGAAAAATGTGTAAAAGAAAGGGTGGTGTGCTATGTGTGTAAAATTAATTCAAAGTATAGTGGATGTAAAGCAGATGGAAATCAGACGAAAATGGAGCACGAATGAAGAAGTGTGAAAGAGTCGTAAACGAAGCGCCTCGATATGATAAAACACGATGAAGGAATTAAAAGCAGGAAGTGGCACATTTAATGAAGGTGTAAGAAAACAAACGAGATATGAAAGAAACGAAGCAATTTGGCTTGTGACAGAAATGTGAAGAAAAAGACAAGAAAAGGCGCCAAGGGTCGAGAACTGAAGGAAACAGCTGCTGCGTAAGAGTTGTGAGTTGTGACACCTAGAAAAGTAAAGAAACGAAATTAAGTTAGTAGGCGTGAAGAAGACGCGAAGGAAGGCGGCGTTATGGAAGTGTGAAGATTTTTTTAATTAATTAATTAAATAAATTAATTAATTAGTTTTTAAACAAAAAGGAGGCCGTGTGGATAAGGAAGCGCAAATTATCAGGACAAAACGCAAGAATCGGTCGTGAAAAAGGACTAAATAGCAAGGTGAATAGGAAAAAACAGTGCGCCAAGAAGACAAGAAGGAGCCGTCCAGATCTAGATTTTACTAAATCATAATGTAGGCAGTTAAAACGAGTGAAGAAGGCGTGGGAAGTGGAAAATCTGATAAAGTGAGCATGAAGGTAGTGAGGAGTGAGTTAACTATTCGTGAAAAATAATTAATAGTGTAAAAAAGGCAGAAAATAGTCCAATGTAAGACGCTAACGAGGCATCAGTAGATTTATAATGGAATGCATGATGGAGGTGCGAAGGAGAAGGAGAAAAAATTCAGCAAAAGGCAGTGGGTGTGAAAAAAGAGCGAAGAAAAAGCAGAAGTCGTGTCGAAGAAAGTGCCAAGTCTCCGTGAAAACTAGGCTAGAAGAAGAGATGAGCGAAGGGAACCAGAAGAATTGATACGAAAAGACTTGAAACAAATGCAGCGGAAGAGACCTAAAAAAACGAAAACAAAACACGCTCTCAAGAGAAGCAAAAGAGATAATACGAGGTGTAAAGGAAATAGACGCGCAAAAATATACAATGGGAAGCGAAAGAAGCGTGAAGCAGAAAGGAAAGTGGGTGGTGAGAGGCGTCACAGAGAAACCGTGAAGGAGTCGTAAGTACAAAAGCACAAAGGAAGACCTCAGCAGGATCATAGAAATGAGAAAGTTAAAAAGAATTTCTAGAGAATAATAAAGAAAGTATGAAATCCGCGGAAATGAAACGCAAATATACGTCAAGACCGTGTGGAATATAGGTGTGAAAGAGAGACATTCGTAAAGTAAAAAGACAGTGGGCCAGTGGGGGACAGATGCGTAAGAGAAACAGATTCAAAAGAAGAATGCAGTGAAATGGTACGAGGAGAACGTTTGAAGCAAGAAGGAATTACAAACGAAGCGCGAAAAATGTACGGAGAGGGCGCAGAAAACAAACGTGACGGAAAAATGCGAAAAGAGAGCGTATGCGAATGTAGAACGCAAGTAATAGGCAAGAAAGTGACGAAGTGTAATTTATGGACGTGTGAAGGAGATGTGAAGGAAAATAAAAGGACGAGACGTCAAAGACCGAGGCAAAGAAGAGAGATTGTGCGAATCAGCAGGGTAAGAGACAAAAATCAGTCGTGATGAAGGGGTAGGTAGACGAGAAGGGGCCCTTAAGAAGATGTAAAGAGCGACTGATGTAACACAACGAAGGGAGTCAGGAGAAAGGAGGAATGAAGCAGGCGAGAGAAAGAGGGAGAAGGAGGCGAGCAACAGGACGAAAAAGAGATATGAAGAAACAAGGCGAGGAGTAAGCAGCAGGCTCGTATGGTGAAGAAAGGGCTCTTAAAGGAGGTAATACATAGAGAATGGATAAAAGGAAAGGCGCCCAAGAAGGAACTGTGAGGGGGCAAACGAACAAGGCGGAGAATCTTGAAGAAGGCTATTGTGTTACTAGTAAAGATGCGCGGTTTCATCGTAAGCTTTTGAGCTTAATCTGTTTGGCTATTATCAATCCACAACTCAGTTTAAAATCATCAACGTGAGCAACTAGCGCATTTGTAACGGTAGCTTTCAGCAAATAGTACTTTAGATACTCTTTGCTTTTTGGTTCAATTTCTTTCGATTTTCGTCGAATGTAACGTTGAAATTTTGAGATTTCAAAGGGTTTAAGTAGTCTGGGCCCTACAAGAGCATTGTTTATGTTTGCCGGGGCGACACGATAGCGAGAATTTGCTTCATATTCAGTCGTTTTAATTAGAGGTACTTGGTTACAAGTGCGAAGTCGGCACGAGGTCACGCTTAGAACGCAAAAGGTAAGTCATTTCAATTCATACAATGAGGAACATTAAAGTGCAAATTTTTGCTTGTGCTAATCTAACCCAGTGTTTCCAATGATTTGGTAAAAAACTCGTGAACTACAAATAGCTGTATTAATAAAAATGGTGGTTTGCTCGTAACTTTTAAAATACAAGGATACACCAGAAAAGTCAGCGTGCCGAGGCATTTGGCAAATCAGATTCGTGTTACCATTCCAATGTGCACAGTCCGCCACCTATCTGTCCTAATTCATTGTCACTGAGAGAAAGAATGCCGGTCAC